TCCTTAGGAAGAGTGTTGCCGTGGACTGCGGTGACGAGTCCGAGAATCTGCAGTCCAGTCTGTGAGTAGCGGGGAAGAGTTGCATCCTCGGGATAAGCTGCTTCATCTCCCGCTTCTGGATCAGGTATGAAATTCGGTCCTACTCGTTCTGCTTCGTTGGTGTTGACTGTCGCAGGTGTTACGTAACCGTTGTCGGCGAAGTAGTAGAAGGTTTCGGCGTTGACACTTTCGCGAGGGTTATCTTCGTCCATGGGGACGTCGACGGAGCAGAACGGAAGGGGTCCAGCTTCTTCTGATGCATTGGCCACATTCTGCTCGTCCCAGTCAGCTTCGTCTGCTGCCGAGGCGAAGGCTCGGTCACCACGAAAACCACCTGTGGGATCTTGGTCCTCTTGCAGGTTGGCAAGGTATGTCTGGAGCGTGAGTCGTTCGTAGAAAATGACGTCGCGTGCTGCTACTGTTTCCTTGGAGTGGACGTCAAAGATTTTCCACGCGTTGTAGTTCTTTTCGATGCCGAGGTGTAGTCCCCACTGTGCGCGTTGTGAAAATCGGCCCGCTCGTGCTGCTGGGGGTCGGTACTGTACCATGCATCCGAACACTCGTAACATTTTTGTGCTGCCCTGTTTTCCTGTCCACAGCAGATGCGGTGATGCGTTGTTCGGTAGTGATGAAGATGAGAGCAAGTTGTGCAGCATGACAGCGTGGTCCATCGCGTCAGGCCACTGGTGGTTGGGTAGCCGCATGCCACGCAACAGTTTGCGCATGCTGTTCTGCAGAGTCCTGTTCATTCTTTCTGCTACACCTTGCTGCTGATGGGCGTAGGGAAGAGAGAGGAGCTGCTTGATTCCCCTTTCCGCCAGGTACTGCTTGAATCGCTGAGAGGTGTATTCTCCTCCTCCGTCAGACTGGAAGCTTTTCAGCTTTACGCCCGACTCTCTTTCTGCTACTGGTAGCCAAGCAGCGAATGCTTCGAGGACCATGTCGCGGCTGGGTAGGTTTAGATGCCAGACGTAACGGGTGGCGGCGTCGATGAAGGTGATTGTGTAGTTGTATATTACTTGTCCTGGTTCCCGATTGTACAGGATGTCGCTATACACCTTTTCTAGTGGTGCGTACGCGGGTGTGCTCGGGTTGTGATGAGGAGTGAATGGCCGATGTGGTAAGTCGGCTTCGGGGCAGGTAAGACATGTTCCTCGTGCCCGTTGAAGTTCTCTGCCGTCGAGTAGTAGTAACGAGTCCTTGTCAAGGACTCCTGCTCTTATTGTGTTGTTTAACACAGTGTTGCTTGGGTGTCCCATGCATGCGTGCCAGATGTCTTCGGAGGCGCGGTGTCCGGGTGAGCGTCGATACGCGTCGGAGTTGGAGTAGAAGCTGGCGGTGAAGTTTGCGCTTCTATGGACTTCCCGTTGAGCCGGATTCAGCTGCTGTGCGGGTGTTGGTGGTGCTTCGTCAACGAGGAGTGGTGTCGTTGTTGCTGCTACTGTTGTTGTTCCTGCTACTGCCGATGGTGTCTCTGCTGCTGCCGATGATGTCTCTGCTGCTGCCGATGTTGTCTCTGCTGCTGCCGATGTTGTCTCTGCTGCTGCCGATGTTGTCTCTGCTGCTGCCGATGTTGTCTCTGCTGCTGCCGATGTTGTCTCTGTTGCTGCCGATGTTGTCTCTGCTGCTGCCGAATGTTGTATTGTTACTAACGCACGTGTTCGTTCTGCTTCAGGAATGGTATGTGAATAACAAAAGCCTTCCGGACTGAAGTCGGGGTCGAGATCCGGCGGGTGTGTCCAAGATGTGAAGGTGACGATCCCGTCACTGTCTGCGGTGCCCAGGTCTGGGACGAAATCGAGAACGAAGACACTGTTCTTCAGGACCGCCTTTCCGATGTAGAGGCCGCCCTTCCCGTGGTACAGCTTGAACTCCTGGGTGGTACTGTCGGCTTCCAGATGTATGCCTTTCGCCATCAACTGACTGACGCTCAGTAAGTTGTAGCCAAGTCCTTCTGCTATTAGGACTTTGGACATTTGCAGTATGACATTCGTCTCTCGTGACTGAAGTTGCACTACTCCTTGTCGTCGTGTGCGCAGGTTCTGATTATTGGCGACAGTGATGACGACTTCTCGTTGAAGTTGGTGCTCGCGTTGAACGAAACGTCCTGAAGAGCACATATGTTGTCCGCAGCAACTGTCCAAGAACCATGTATCCTTCCCGGACGGCTCGCTTTGAGCGATGGCGGCGTACGTCGGGTTCGGTTGAAGTGACTCGCGGCGAGGCGTGCTGTTGTCGAGTTGTTCTTCTGGTGAGTAATATGGCGGTGACTCAGTTACGCAGGAGTCACTCAGCCTTGCCATGCAGCTGACGATGTTTCTTGTTCCTTTCGCAGGTTGTCCCGTCGATGTTGTTGAGACTTGTACTGAAGTTGTCGGATTTGCTTGCGTTGAGGCGACTTGACTGCTTGAAGGGCGAAGTTGGCGTTGCGGCGACGTTGACTGTTGTCGATTCGGGCAGTGCGTACGAGGATGCCCTAAAGTCTTGCAGAGGTGGCAGAACGGAGGTACGATTTTCGGTCGATTGTTGTTGTTGTTGTGGCGCCGTTGAGTGTGAAACGCGAATTCGGGCACTGATACCTTTCTCTTGTGTCGTTCTTCTTGCAGGTCCATGTCTTGCTGCTCGGCGTGGATTTCGGCGCAAAGTGCTGCTTCAGAAATTTTCCCGTGGGCTCGTAGTATGGCGCGAGTGGAGCGCCAGTGAGGACCAAGACCGCCGATGACAACCGTGACGAAGGCGTCCTCTGAAATCGATCCTCCACATCGAAGAAGCTTGTCGCGCAGCTCGCGGCAGCGACTGATATACGCCATTCCCTTCTCGCCTGGTTTCATTTCGATTGTTGTCAGCTGCGCCATTAACCGACTTTGGTTTACGCTGTCTGTTGCTTGATACAGGCTCTTCAAGTGATTGTACGCGAGCTCCGCGGAGTTGCCGTAGCCTCGGTAAGACCGTATGTTTTGTTGTTGAGTTGGAGTGATGTTCCTCAGTAGTATCGTGTACGCCATCATCGATTGATAGGTGTACTGCTGCTTCTCATACTGTGTGCCGTTTGTTGGGTATGGCAGGGACCCGTCGAAGAAGCCAAGGATTTGCGCTCCTTCCATCATCAGCTCGAATTCGAACGACCAGGTAAAGAAATCCTTCCCGTCGAAGGGTTTTGTCGTTTGCTGTTTTAGAACGTGCGCGAACTGCGACTGGACTTGTAGTGCGTCCAGCGTTCTCTCTTGTCCCGGTGCAGGTTGTGGTTGTGGCATGAAGCTGACGGAGCCGCGCTGGGGCTCGTACGGAGCGAAGGTAGGTTGCTGTTGTTGATTCCCGCGTGCGTAGGATGAGCCATCGAGACTCATGGGTGTCACGTTGTTGTTGTTGTTGCTGTTGTTTGATTGCGCAGGTGCTCCTTGCTGATGCTGCTCGTAGAAGGACATGAAGGAGAAGAACTTCTCCATCATGCTTGGATCGAAGCCCGCGCCTTGGTTTGCGGATGTTTCAGTAGACCCAGCTGCCGGTCTCGTTGTTGTGCCTTCCTCTGTCTGTAGGCCAGAGGCAGGAGGTGGAGTAGGAGTAGTACCAGGAGAGCCGTTGGAGGAGCTCCTCTCCTTTCTGGTAGACATGTCTCTTGGTGTATTAGGTGTTAAGGAGAAATAATTTTAACCCTAACCAGCTCTCATACCATGTTGGGCTGAGTGCCCCTTAGGATCTTTGGTAGGGTTAAACTCTGGGTAGAGTGATGTAGTAGCGGAAGCGTTTAAATGAAGTCCTTGAACCACCTTGCGCTGGTATGTGAGGGCAAAGTAAGTTGATTAAAACAAGCAAGTACAAAGGTTTATATAAGAGTACAAAGAATACGAAGAGATATAATTAAACTGTTTTACTGTTGCGGTTCGATACAGTGCGACTCGGGCAACTGCTCAATGTCGAGTCAGTTGTGTGTCCTTGCTGTCGCGCTGCATTTGTCAAGTCAAAGGTCGCTGACCTTCGACTTTCGCGTAACCTCCAGCGGTTACTTCAACCTCCGAGGGTTGACTCGCTGGTGCCTCGATATGCTCTGCTTCGCTTGTGCCTTGGTGTTTCGACACGACAGAGGCGCTTAAGATTGTTTGTTCCCAACAAGAATCTCGGCAGATTCGAATTGAATTCATCGAGGGAGGGAATCCCATAATTGCACCTACTTGTTAACAAATTTTATAAAGAATCTGTAAGAAAAGGGGGGTGTTATAAATAATCAGCCAAAAAGGGGGGTATAGTAGAAACGAGGTCGCCCATAACACCCACCCCGCACAAGCTACCCGGGGGTGCTCAATCATGGGGGGGTGTTTTGTCCGGGAGAATACGGGTAAGATTAGAGAAACATGTTGCAGTTTTGGCCAGAAAATCAAACTGGAAAGCAAACAAACAAAAGAATGGTGGTGCCGACGCGGCGTTACTGCATTGCTGTCGAAGCCTACTGCACCTTCTCAATAGTGTTACAACCAAGATTAGCAGAAGGGTTGAACCAAAGCCCCTCTTCTAGTAGTGTATCTATGTCAAACAAAGCAGTGCTAGCATCTTCCGTAACATTGCTTCGCACAGGAGACGACTCGCTATTGTTGCCTCCATTACTGTTGCCACCACTACGACTCATTATGTTGCCACAGCCCCCAAAAACATCCTCCAGCATTTCATCACCAGAGTCACAAACGCCACCCTCAGCAGCTGTAAGGCCAGGTCCTCTTGCTGCTTCAACTGAATTGCTCTGTAGCGGGGACAGATCAGTGGTTGCATTCAAATGAAGAGCTGTTTCGCTAGCAGGAGTGGTGGCGCAAGCAGGCCGAGCGTGCCCAACTGAAGATCCCGCTGCAGCACTGGAGAATAGCACCAAGGGCGCAGCAACATCAGCTGCGGGTAGCCCTGTAACCATAGTAACAGCCAAACCCACACGGTCACTGCTGCTTCCGAGGTGGTAGCGATGATGGTCAGGGTGGTTACCAAGAGTCGCAGATGTAACACTTGGCAGAGCGTGGCAGGTTGATGGCAGAGCGTGGCAGGTTGATGGCAGAGCGTGGCAGGTTGATGGCAGAGCGTGGCAGGTTGATGGCAGAGCGTGGCAGGTTGATGGCAGAGCGTGGTGGGTTGATGGCAGAGCGTGGCAGGTTGATGGCAGAGCGTGGTGGGTTGATGGCAGAGCGTGGTGGGTTGATGGCAGAGCGTGGCAGGTTGATGGCAGAGCGTGGCAGGTTGATGGCAGAGCGTGGTGGGTTGATGGCAGAGCGTGGCAGGTTGATGGCAGAGCGTGGTGGGTTGATGGCAGAGCGTGGCAGGTTGATGGCAGAGCGTGGTGGGTTGATGGCAGAGCGTGGCAGGTTGATGGCAGAGCGTGGTGGGTTGATGGCAGAGCGTGGTGGGTTGATGGCAGAGCGTGGCAGGTTGATGGTAGAGCGTGGTGGGTTGATGGCAGAGCGTGGCAGGTTGATGGCAGAGCGTGGTGGGTTGATGGCAGAGCGTGGCAGGTTGATGGCAGAGCGTGGTGGGTTGATGGCAGAGCGTGGCAGGTTGATGGCAGAGCGTGGTGGGTTGATGGCAGAGCGTGGCGGGTTGATGGCAGAGCGTGGTGGGTTGATGGCAGAGCGTGGTGGGTTGATGGCAGAGCGTGGCAGGTTGATGGCAGAGCGTGGTGGGTTGATGGCAGAGCGTGGTGGGTTGATGGCAGAGCGTGGTGGGTTGATGGCAGAGCGTGGTGGGTTGATGGCAGAGCGTGGCAGGTTGATGGCAGAGCGTGGCAGGTTGATGGCAGAGCGTGGCAGGTTGATGGCAGAGCGTGGCAGGTTGATGGCAGAGCGTGGTGGGTTGATGGCAGAGCGTGGCAGGTTGATGGCAGAGCGTGGTGGGTTGATGGCAGAGCGTGGCAGGTTGATGGCAGAGCGTGGTGGGTTGATGGCAGAGCGTGGCAGGTTGATGGCAGAGCGTGGTGGGTTGATGGCAGAGCGTGGCGGGTTGATGGCAGAGCGTGGTGGGTTGATGGCAGCACAAGAGGATCTAGTGAAGGAAGGGAATCAGACTGAATATGGCCGGTGGACTGTGAAGCGTGCCCCGGACCAAAAGTTGGACTGAAGATGGAAGGCTGAAAACAGGTTTGCACTGGCGGGTCCATTGGTCTTTGACAAGCATGACTTGCTGCAAAGGTCACAGAAGCAGGTGGGCAACAGGTGGGCGGCGGCAGAACTGGTTCTTGCGAAGTGCCAATGCATGGCTCCCCTGTAAAGGGCATAGGTGCTGTGAGCAGTGGTTGAGAACAGGTGGGCGGCGGCAGGCCCGTGTGCTGAGCTGCTACTGCTGCAAGCGATCCGCCTGCTGTTGCAGCCAAAGCCCCTTTTTGGGGTGCCTCGAAGGTCGCGTGCTGAGCTGCTGCAGTAAGCAAACCGTCTGGATTTTCTGTCACGGCCGACGCTGTCGGTGCTGCCGCCACCACTTCTGCTGCCACCGCCTCTGCTGCTGCTGCTGCGGCTGTATCCAGAGACCCAAAACGTTCCACTTGTGAGGTTTCCTCCGCTGGATCAGCAGGCGTGCAAATAGGAGGCCCTATGGGGTTTGCTTCACTGCTGCCGCAGCAGCAGCAGCAATGGGCGGGTTTTGTTGCGGAAACGGGGAATGGCTGGCTCGGTGTGGGTGAGTACGGGGAAGGTGCATACGATGCAGGTGTATACGAGGTAGATGCATGTTGGGGGTTTGGATATGCTGTCGTGGCAGCGTCACAAGCAAGAGGGGGCGATGGCTGGATTGGTGGTGGTTGGCGGGACAGCTGAGAAGAAGGTGGGCTGAGAAGAAGGGCTGCTGGTGGCTGTACTGGGAGAGGTGGAGGAGGGGATGGTAAGAGAAGCTGCTGCTGCTGTGGTGGTTGTGAAGGTTGCTCATGGAAGCTGCCACCCCCTGGCAGCACCACATGCTGCAGCTGATGCTGCGGCTGCTGCTCCTGCTGCTCCTGCTGCTGCTGTTCTTGCTGTTGCTGCTGCTGCTGCTGCTGCTGCTGCTGCTGCTGCTGCTGCTGCTGCTGCTGCTGCTGCTGCTGCTGCTGCTGCTGCTGCTGCTGCTGCTGCTGCTGCTGCTGCTGCTGCTGTTCTTGCTGCTGCTGCTCCGGCTGCTGCTGCTGCTCCTGCTCCTGCTCCTCCTGCTGCTGTAGGGTCTGGTATTGAGCATGGTAAGGCGGCTTGAACTGATGCAACCCTGCTTGTAAAGGCTGGGAAGAGCAGCAGAAAACAGCAGTGGCGGTGAAGGGAGAAGGATAAATAGGAGTAGGAGGAGGAAGAGCAGCACGGAAGGGAGAGGAATCAGGGCAGCGACCAGCAGCAGTGCGTGAGGGAGCGAGCGGAGGGTGAAGAGAAGGAGATCGGTGCTCTGCATTAGGTTGTATAGGATATGCTTGAATAGGGGATGACTGATGAATTAAGCAGACAGGTGAAACTGAAGCCGTCTGAGGGGAAGCAGGTCTGGGGATATTTTCTGTGGGAGGAAGTGCCGTTGCTGCTGGTGCTGCTGGTGGTGGCGATTGTGTCGGCGGTATGGCAACTTCAAAGCACTGATGAGTTGCTGAAAAAGGCTTGACTTCAAATCCAGGTGAAGCTGAGTCGGATGGTGGAGTATGGGAGTGTGAGCTTGAAGGGTGGAGTAGCTCCATCTGATTAGATTGCTCATGCTGAGCGTGAGTATGGCGCTGAGATTTCTCATTTGATGTGGTATACACCTGCTGCTCTCCATCATTATTTTCGCAATCCGGTCCGGCAGGAGGGATAAGCTGGCTGACACCAGAAAATGGAGTGGAAGAATCATGGAAATTTGAGGGGATTTTGGATGAAGCAATTTTGCCGTTTAGTATGGAAATGTAGGTGTAGGAATTTTGTGTATTGTCAGTGTAGTTGCTGGGCTTGTAACCAGCAACTCTGCAGGTGTCCGGCTCATTGCGAGTGTCGTCAGAAACAGCTTTCGCGTTCGCGTCTGGAACTAGAGCAGCTTCGACGGCTGTAGAGAACCCCATCGGAACCATCGGAAGTTTCCGAAACCCGTGGTTCGGCCTGCGACGGGACACAAGGGTCGATCCGTTCACCGAGAAACTCTTTGACACACCCGTCGCCACTTTCGCGCTTAACGAAGCACCTGTTTTGCAACTACCCGCCAGATCGGAGGCAGCAGGCGAGCTGGCGAGTGGAGTTGTTGCGGGGAAAGCAGACGGGCCGTGGTTGTGCTCGCCGGTGAACGAAACATGGTAACTGGCCGGCTGCGTGTCGACATGCCAATCAACAGTTCGCTTGGCACGACATGGCTCTGCTCCTTGTAAGCCCGAACTCGCACAACGGAAATACGACCTGATGTAGGAGGACGAACGTAGGGCGTTTTAAAAGGGGAAAATAGTGAATACGCCTGAAACTGAATTCGCGCAACCACAAGCCCTTACCCACAAACGACTCACCGCAGGCAATTAGGCTGGTTCATTAGCGGTTTCTCGCCATATTTTAGCCAAGTATAACCATCCTCCGGCAGACAAGTTGGCACCAATGCAGCTCGCAGTTTTTTCCCCTCGGCTAGACGAATCGCCTCGGCGCTGGTATAACTAGCGCCGGCGCTATCGCCGCTGCTTCCGCCGCGTTTCAAGGACCGTCGCCCCGCGCAAGTCCTTCTAAGGGAAACGTAAGATGTGGGAGAAGTGCGGTGATTTGGCGATCGTGTTTTCTCTGCGGTGACTTCGAAATTAGTACCAGGCGCGCCCGCAGTCGTGCAGGGGCGAGCATCACGGTCTGTACTATACTCCGTTGCTTCCGCTTTTGAGTTCTTCCGCTTCATTGGTAATGTTGTCGTCCGCTCGTCGGCAATGGCGCTAACTACGGCGCAGATCAGTAAAATCACCCACGGCCTCTTCGTAATATGTAAAACTGTGCATATTTAGTCCGTCTTTCTAGTAAGACCGTGAGATTGCTGTGGGATAGGAGCCATGCCATGGCAAGTCTGTGGGAGGGTGTGCATAATAAAGGGGAGAGTTTATGTGTTGCCCGCCTCCTTGAAGAATAATTGCCACCCACAATAATAATTAACACAGCCCACAGGCGTTACACCTTGAAGGACTAATGTTGGAGCAGACTGAGTGGCCAAACAAGCCCTTTCGTGCTGTGGTGTGGTGATACTGTAACATTTGGGTTCACTGCTGCCATATCAATCGACTTCATCTCACTGTGGTGCACTGTTGCCACACCCTTGCTCTCCGTTCCTGCGTGTGAGGGGGAACCACGTGTGGTGTGTGAGAACATATGGCTGGGTCATTCGTATACAGGACGAAACATGGTAGTGTAGAGGTTTGAAATCTCGAAGCGTTTGAAGATAAGTGTTCACGAAGGTTCGCGTCTGCCCACTTCACAAAAGGACGCGCAAGCTGCACTAGTGTCCATGTTGGATGCTAGCTACGGGGAAGTCTACACTTTTCGTGTGCGGTACGAAATGAATGTGCAAACTGTACACACGCAACTGTGAAGTACAGTGTACACCCTCGTTCTCACCCTTCTCACCATCGCGCGCACTGGCTACAGTATTTGGACGTAGCGGGCTGGTGCGATAACTCGGTTGCGGGCAAAGTCGCATGAGGTGACGAAGCATTGGGCAGTAAAAAACCGTTAACGCTGAATAGCCGTCCCAACCGTTTTGAAAACGACACTACCTTTTATTAAAGTTTGAAACCCTGACTGACCGCCTTAGGTCAAATTGTCACTATAACGCATGTGTTAGGACCTTCTTTGGTCCGTTGCGGTAACACTAGGCGACTCAGTCAGTCTAACTTATGCCAGTCTATCGAGAATGAGGGTGTATTAGGGGAACTCCGCGTTCGCGCACCAACTCTATTCGTGGCTCGAGCCTGACACACGCGGGGCGCGGCACATCGACAAAAGAGAGCAAAAATTCTTGTGTTCTCTGTAATGAGTTGTTGTTATGGGTGCATGTACACCCTATTCTCGATAATTGCATACCCCTACCTGTTGTCTTGAAGGTGCCCTATGCCGATTCTAGCTCGATATGACGGACACCCTGAAACCCAGGGACTAATAGTCGACAGCGAAGATGAAGTGTCTTCTGTTGAAACTGCACCAAATGGTATGAGTGAGGATGGGGTTGGGGTGACGCGACTGAAGTTTTTAATGCTTACGACTATTCGTGACTAGGTTTCGGAACGCTCACCAGCTATTCAAAATTCGCAGTAAACTACCATGCGAGAAAGTTTGTACCTCGGGTATGTACCCCCAGGGTGTGAGTTTAAGGAGCATTGCAGGAGCTTCTTGCAGTTCGTCCGTAACAAGCGTCGCGAGCGCGGCATCGAGACCATATGGATCATCAACGCGGACCAGACGCCGCTCTGGCTAGATGCCCGCCGCCACCACCGTGGAGGAAAATGGTGTTCGGTCGGTGCCCATGAGGAGCGCGGGTTACCAGAAGCAGCGAATGATTGTGATATTGGCGTGCACGGCGGACGGAGTGAAGCTCAAGCCATGGGTGTTCTTCAAGCGGAAGACGGTGCCGAAGGGCGATTTCCCGGCGGGTAGGTCATGAGGTTTTGTTGACGTTCGTTGCAATTTTCCTTTGAGTGCGAATTCTTACAACCCGATGATGTTTCGTGCAGATGTGGTCGTGGCTTGCCACGAGAACGGGTGGATGGACGCCGAGGGCGTCATTTGCTAGCTTGAGGAGTGCGTCAAGCCCTTCTTGAAGCTTCGGTTCGGTAAGCACGCAAAGAGCTCGATGGTGGTGCTGGATTCTTACCGCGGTCACCTCACCGAAGGGGTGAAGGAGAAACTCCGCGAGATGAGCTGCGTGCCGGCAATCATCCCGTCGGGCTGTACGGCGGAGGTACAGCCCCTCGACGTCTCCATCAACAAGAGCTTCAAGGCTTCTGTCCGCCGGCAGTACCAGAAGTGGTTTGAAGCAGAGGGGCAAGAGCAACTGACGGCAGCATGTATGGTATCAACAGATTACCATTTGTTCTACCCATCCTAATCACATTGTTGTTGCACTAACGGCTTTCCACTGTGCCCCCGTATTGTTTCAGGGAACCTCAAGAATCCGCCACCTGAGGTCGTCCTGCGGTAGATATCTCTTGCCGACCGCATCAAGCGCGCCTTCCTCACATGTGGCATCAGCAACACGCTTGACAGCAGTGAGGACAGATTCGCCATGGCGCACAGGTGGAGCTAGCTGACCGCGGAACTGGATGTCAATGATGACATCACCGCCGACGGCTTCTTTGGCAACATCTGCTAGGAGCTCGAGTCGGCCGAGGAGGGGTAGCTAGTACTAGGTACCTTGCGAAAAAACGCACGAAATTATTTGTTAGGGTAGGTGATTTCGAAGTAGTCGAGATTGTTGGTTCTAGATTTGTAATGAAAGACTTTAGAAGTTATTGTGAGAAAGTCTAAAAAATATTTTAAAAAATGGCTAAAGGATGCGCTTATAATAAGTACTGGTACACATGGGGGTGCGCATATAATCGAGGAACGGCCATAAGCGCCATGCTCCAAATAGAAGCGCCGGTGCCTGTAATAGCCTAGAGTTAAACTATATATGTGTTAGTTCTGTGTAGGCTACAGTGGGGTAGCTCGTATGGGGTACAACCTGAAGTTACGGTTAGTACTTGTACCCACATTTCATTCAATGCAATCATCCATGCTTGTTGTCTTGACATGGTTTCAGAGCATTAGGTCCGTAGGACTGTTTTTTTTCCGGGCCCACCATACTTAGCTTCCGACTACGGTTACCGCGTTACCCCACTACCTTGCGTCGCGTTGCCCTGCGCACGCCCTGCCTTGCCACGCGTCGCGTTGCCTCACGCATGCCTTGCCCTGCGCCAGCGCCCTGCCCTGCGCCGGCGCCCTGCCCTGCGCTAGCGCCCTGCCCTGTGCCAGCGCCCTGCCCTGCGCCGGCGCCCTGCCCTGCCCTGCGCCAGCGCCCTGCCCTGCGCGAGTGCCCTGCCCTGCGCCAGCGCCCTACCCTGCGCCAGCGCCCTGCCCTGCGCCAGCGCCCTGCCCTGCGCCAGCACCCTGCCCTACGCCAGCGCCCTGCCCTGCGCCTGCGCCCTGCCCTACGCCCGCGCTGCTGCCCTGCGCGTCGCGCCCTACAGCAGCCCGCGCGTCGCGCGCTGCTGCCCCGCGCGTCGCGCTCTGCTGCAGCCCCCGCGTCGCGCCCTAAGGCAGCCCGTCGCGTCGCGCTCTGCTGCCCCTCGCGTCATGCACTGCTGCAGCCTGCGCTAGCGCCCTGCCCTGCGCCAGCACCCTGCTAAACCCTAACTAAAATTAAAATAATAATAAAAAAAAAGTGGCCCTATGTGCTTTTTCCGTAGGAGCTACTGCCTGCTGTTGCCTGCTACTGCCCTGTTGTGGCCGCGCGCCGCCCTGCTCTGGTTGCGCGCCGCCCTGCTCTGGCCGAACGCCGCCCTGCTCTGGCTGCGCACCGCCCTGCTGCTCTTACTGCTGCTGCTGCTACTCGTGCTACTGCCTTTTCTCTGTACTACCCTAGAGGTCGCGCTCCTCCTAGCTTGCCTGCCACTTTGTCGAACCGGTGGGAAAGGTGACGGCGGTGGTGGCAGCAGTGGGAGTGGTGGCGGCCGTAGTAGTAGTCACTGTGACGCTGTTTGGTGCGGAGTGTCTG